TTGCACGCCCCCTACTGGGGATGCGCCAGCAACCAACATACATGGCCTTGACTGGAATCGAACCGGGGACCTTTCAGTACTCAGGCCGACGCTCTATCCACTGAGCCAAACTGGTTTCAGCTCCCTCTGTGTTCTTTTATAACATGTTGCCTGTATAACTCATTTGCTACTTAACTTGTATTGAATGCTGAATATGCATTTCTCTTTAGATTTTAATTCCTTTGGGACAGGAATAAAGCTGAATTCATTTTTACACACTTCCCATAGTTCTGGGCATAACAGGTACTCAGAAAATATTTAAGTGAGTGAATGAGTATAAAAGAGAATAAACTGGGATCTTTATTGCTCATCTAATTATATCAATTTTTAAAGAATTTTAAGCCTTAAACATTAACATTTAACCTTTTTAGGACTCTGGTGACATCAAATGACAGTATGATAATGGTAGAAATTTGAGAATTTGTTGCAGAATACCAGTGAAAATTAAGGTCACTCATTTTCTATTTGGATTTTGAAAACAAACTTTCTATGGACAACTAAATAGCTGTTACAGAAACTTTTTTATTGATTCCAAAATTTTTTCTTATAAGTAGTACTGTCATATGTTAAGTAAAAGTTTATTCATTATAACATCAGTAATTTTGCTGGGTTAGGACCTTCATTACTTTTGTTGACTGACTTGCAGAAATACGACACAAAAGTGGGAGATAAGGGGACTCAGCTCTCAGGAGGTCAGAAACAGAGGATTGCGATCGCCCGAGCCCTCATCAGACAACCTCGAATCCTGCTGTTGGATGAAGCTACATCCGCTCTGGACACTGAAAGTGAAAAAGTACGGTCTTCCACCTCACATCCTATTTAATCTGTAAAACAGAAGGGTTTTGTGCTATTAGCCATGAAAAAAAACAAACGTAAGCACAGAGAAAAAGTAAATAGAAATTTAGACAGTGGTTATTTTGAGGTAGAACCTTTTCTTATTCCTTTCAGTATTTTCCAGTTTTTCTAAAATGATCATGTATTACGTTTAGAAATGCACTAAAAGTAAAGCATTCAAAAGGCTGCATAAATTATTTCAGCATATTAATCCTCAAGGAAAATACTCAATAAAAGGGACCTAGTTCTGTCAAATATTTTGTGACTAGTTAGAAATTTTAACTACTTGTGAAGATTGTAGTGACAATCTATATAGTGACAATCCATTTTTATTATAATTAAAAAGAACATAACTGTATGTGATGTCAAATTATATTAATACACAGGCACAGAGGCAAATATTCAAAGAGATAAGGAATGACATTTTCTTGCTTGGATGGTAACATTTTTAAATTTAATGCTAAAACCTATTCATATAATTAAGGTAAGGCTTCTGATCTGATTTGTGTATAGGTTGTCCAAGAAGCCCTGGACAAGGCCAGAGAAGGCCGCACCTGCATTGTGATCGCGCACCGCCTGTCCACCATCCAGAACGCGGACCTGATCGTGGTGTTCCAGAACGGCAAGATCAGCGAGCACGGCACCCACCAGCAGCTGCTGGCGCAGAAGGGCCTCTACTTCTCCATGGTCAGCGTCCAGGCCGGGGCACAGAACTCGTGAACTCTTGTTATCGAATATCTTAAAAAATAAACTCAAAACATTCTACAACTTTTGCTGACTTGTAGAAGAAGTTTCTAAGTCATCATAAAATACAGGTACATCCAATCTGGGGTTTGCTATGACAACATTTGGAATTTTGGAGTTATAAAATCATCAAGACACATTTCTTAATGAAATATGAAAACAGCTTAGCTCTTCCTGAGTTTTCAAAAACATACAGGGGGAAAGAGCGAAGTTCAGGTATAGAAAGCTGTAGAATTAGTAGAAGCCATAAGCCACAGTTATGGTCCTGAACAGTTGGGTAGATGGATGTTTTGAGAACATTTTCCCCAAGTTCAAAGAAAATATAAGTTGTTCAAAAGCCTACTCTCTCCCTGGGTGGGTTTCTAAATTATTCTACGGGGCATTGATTTTTTTAAAAATTAATGTATCCCCAGCTTTAGGATAGTCCAAGAGAAAAATACAGTTTCCCTTAGACAAGGTAACTCTGAAGGCACACATTCATTCTGTAAAGCAAAAAGAGAGATATCAAGTATTTCTTTTAAATAAATGTTTAAACTCATGAATAATTATTGTACATATATCAGTATAATTTGTAACACTGGAAATACAAATAAAAAATTCTTTTTCTATAACAATTGTATTGCTTTTTCCAAATAATACTAATATTCCCAGGATGTGAACCTACTTCTCCTAACAGGAAGGAAATATATTTAGATGAAGGGCAAGAAGAAATATTCCAGGCAACCCTTGGAAACTAATCACACTGAAATATTTTTTCCACAGTTTACCTCAGCAAAATCAATTATTTAGGCTGGTATTCAAAGCAAGTTCTTCTACCTGTAATAAACCATATACTGTATTACCAAAGATGTTTTAAATGTGACTGTGTGTATCAGCAGACAATTTCAGATTAACCAAGAGGAGAACAGGGCAAGGGGCTTTAGCACAGAGACTCAACGTGAACAGAATTCAACTTACTCTTGTGTGATTGTTCCCAAACTTAGCTGATGAAGATCATGGGGCATATGCCCTGGAAACTGACTCAGTAGGTCTGCTCTCTGTAGAGCATTCTGGGTAACTTTTAACTTGAGGCGATGGAGGGAAACGTGTTAAAGCAGGAGTAAGAAGAGACTCCTTCCCAGGAAGTGACCCATTGCTAAAATACTCTACTCTTTAGATAATATTTTAAAATAATAGACCAAATGACTGTAAAGTGCCTGGGATTTAGTCTACAAAATTGTACTAGTGAGGAAAAGGTCCAGAGTTCATAGAAGCCAACTCAATGTTTTCACAAAGAAATACACCAGACTTACCAAATTCAGAACATATGAAAATGCAAGAACAAAAAGGACATCCAACTAATATTATTAAATCTATTGTCATTTTTAGGTGATGGGGTTGCTACAACTATCATGTCCCCTCTTGTGTCTATTTACATTTTTTATAAGAGGGTCTCCTTTTTATTTTTTAAATATACTTTATTGATTTTAGAGAAGAGGGATAGAAACATCCATGATGAATCATGGATTGGCTGCCTCCTGCACGCCCCCTACTGGTGAGTCCTCAACGCAGGCATGTGCCCTTTGCCAGAATAGAATCTGGGTCCCTTCAGTCCACAGGCTGATGCTCTATCCATTGAGCTAAACCAGCTAAGGCCCCTTTTTAATTTTTTAATATTTTTATTGATTTCAGAGAGGAAGGGGATGAGAATCATTGATCAGCTGCCTCCTGCACGCCCCCTAGTGGGAATCGAGCCTGCAACCCAGGCAAGTGCCCTTGACCAGAATCGAACCCTGGACCATGCAACTTCTACCTTTCCCCTTTAGAACACCCACTGGCAAGTATAGAAATCCAGTTAAAATGCTGAATGGTCAGACAGCACAAGGAGAGGGAATCCCTGCTACCAGTCCGCAGACAGTAGGTAGAGCCATCTCAGGCTTCCCAGCCACAGCCAGCAGCTGCATCCATGACTGAGGCAAGACAGAAGCAGATCTCCAAACAGGCACGGTCCACTGACACAGTCGTGAGGAATAACATGTTGTGGGAAGCAGGGAGTTCGGGTGGATTATTACACAATGATACGTAACATGTCAGAAAGTATAAGGTTACACAGGAATGAGTCGCTTATTCAAACACAAGAAGTTATATGATTTTGAGTTTTATTTTTGGAGGGTAGAAACTACAAAATTGAACAGAAGAGGAAAAAAAAAAAAAAAAATCCTGAGAATCTGATTCAATATTTAATCCTTGTAGTCATTAATTCTGATAACTAATTTTAAATATAAGTGCTTTAATTTTATATTCACAAACTAATTACAAAATATACTAAAAAGAATTTTGTTAGGGTTTTTTTTAAATGCGTGTCAGAGAGTATAAACCTCCCTACTACGACTTTTTGTCTGTTCAACAAACTTTTTTTAAAAATCTTCATCAGGAGATATGCTCATTGACTTCAGAGAGAGGGAGAGGGCAGAAGGGAGAGAAATACTGATGTGAGAGAACATCAATGGGCTGCCTTACATACATGTCCTGATCAGGGATCAGACCCACAACCTAGATATGTGCTCTGCCCAGGAACTGAACCCACAGCTTTTCAGTGCATGGGATGACACTCCAACCACCTGAGCCACGCCGGCCAGGTCAGCAGAAATTATTTTTGTTAATCACCATTAACTTGTAGTGGTCTCACCCAAATACAGTAAGCTTGCATCCCTGTGGCGAATGTGAAAGACACTGATTTCAGAGAAATTAGCATCCAATCAGGTATTTCATAGCCTTTGGCAATTAGAAAAGCTTAAAGTGCCTGAAAGATAGATTCTATGACAGTGATTTCCAACTGGTGTGCTGTGGCATGTTTAATGACTGACTAGTCAGGGTCACTGACCTCTTTTCCCTTAGATTGTCAAAAAAAAAAAAAAAAAAAATGACAACAGCAAACAGAACAATAGCTGTCCAAGGTGAATGAATCAAAATTATACCTCTTTTTTAGTCATATTGGCAAAAAATGCATTTTTTTTATGTGCCATAAGATTTTTAAAAAAGTTGAAAATCACTGCTCTACCATGATGTTCAGAGAGGGAATTTATAACTTACACAGGTATCAATAAAAATATTTAAAAGTTAAAATTAGACTTGCATTGTTAAATTTTGCAGAATTGCATTGTTGAGGCTTATCTTAAAACTTTGCATAGTTCTATAGTCACTATATCAAAATTTGCATTGTTGCTGCATCAGAGGAAGCTTAAAAACAGTATTACTACTTTGTCAGTATAGGTTTAGAGAACATGATTCTATTAACGTCTACATTTCCTTCAAGTCGACACTCCTCACCTCACCTCAGCAACCCACTCCCAGCACACAGTTCACATGGTCTGACCGGAAAGTGCTTAATGCATAATGAGTCTCTAGAGATGAGCCGCGTTCATCAGCTGCATCATATCCTGGAACGCCTGGAAGATCAGCTGAATCAGCTTCTCTGGGTCAGTCTCCGCACAGGATTTCCAGGCTGAGCAGGCCACAACAAACCTGCAAAGAACAAGTAATGAACGATTGAGTATGAGGTGAAAATCACAACACCGCAAGGCTCCACATGGCTGGCGGCGAGCATATGAAGCGTGACTCCCGCTGGCATGACGTAAATGGAACCTGATGCATGGAAAGTACAGGCATCGTCATACATAATGCTGGGAACCCTGCATGCGCTACGTGACTGGAGACCAAGGACAAAGGGGGACAAGACAGGAGCCAGAGCTCCCAATGTGTGGAGCAAGGCCTTGCTGTAAACACCCACCTCTCCCCTAACACAGACCTTTCTGCACGTCCTCTGTATGGAATGAGGTGGAATACGAATTCATGCCATTGTTTGCAATAAAACCTGAACTTTTTAAAAAAAATATATATATATATATATATATATATTTTTTTTTTTTACAGAGAGGAAGGGAGAGGGATAGAGAGTTAGAAACATCGATCAGCTGCCTCCTGCACACCCCCTACTGGGGATGTGCCCACAACCAAGGTACATGTTCTTGATGGGTATCGAACCTGGGATCTTTCAGTCTGCAGGCCCGTGCTCTATCCACTGAGCCAAACTAATACCTGAGCGGATTATATTTGCTCAGAGACACACAGAAACCTACAGAAAGCCCTGCCTGTTTCCACCCAGTGGTTTCACATAACTTGTCATTTTCCAACTGCATGTAATTGTCAAATACTTAGCTTCATCTACACATATTCCTTTGCAAAGATCAACAATTTCTATTTAAATGTCAAAATTTTTCAGAAGTTTCATTTTCTTTCTAAATTATGGAAAGAAATAACTATCTTCACAAAAGAATGTACACAGATACCAGTGACAAAGAAAAGAAGGTTTGTTCATCAGTAAAAAATTCTTTTTGTTATTTTTTCCTGTAAATTGGTAAAGAATGTTTTATAATGCTTAGAGTTGGTAATGATGTGATGAAATAAGGGTATATTATTGTTATTTGTAATAATGAAACACCTGAAATTGCATGTAAGAGATTACTTATGGAAATCCTTAAGACTAGACATTATTCAATCATTAAAATAGCTAAAAGAATAGTTTATGCATTGGAAATTGCTTTAAATAATATTAAATGAATAAAATTCACATAAAGGACATGAAAATATTTGTATGATCTACATTTTTCATTATTATACAGATGTTTTACAATGAGCATGTAGTACATTAAAATAAAATGCTATATCAAAAATAAACCAATTTTCTTCGAGTCATACAATTTTCACTTTTAACAATCAATGAGAAAAACCCCTTCCAGACAGCTCACATACATTTTCCATCTGAAGTGCCCCCAAGCCTGCTCACTGCTTGCTTACGTGCTGAATGCAGCCACATCATTATTATTTTTTCTTAGTTGTTCCGGTGTGCAGGTCTCTCAGGCATGCATCCATATTGAGCAGTGACTTCTTTGTTGAATTATACGATAGGTGGTTGTTTTGTCAAAACGTTAGGGGGAGAGGATAGATGCACCCTCACACCGCTATTCCTCTGCCGTCACTCACCACATTATCTCTCCATATAAAAGCCTAAGTGACTGAATGACCAATGACCAGCCGGCCGGTCGCTATGTGATGTGCACTGACCACCAGGAGATAGATGCTCAACATACAGGATCAGGCTCCCTCCGGTCTTGACCAGGCCTGAGGGATTGGGCCCAAACTGGCTACCTGACATCCCCCGAGGGGTCCTGGGTTGCGAGAGGGCACAGGCCAAGGGGCCCCACCAGTGTACAAATCCGTACACCGGGCCTCTAGGTTTTTTGTTTGTTTTTTTAAATATATTTTTATTGATTTTGTACAGAGAGGAAGGGAGAGGGATAGAGAGTTAGAAACATCGATGAGAGAGAGTCATCGATCAGCTGCCTCTTGCACACCCCTTACTGGGGATGTGCCCGCAACCAAGGTACATGCCCTTGACCAGAATGGAACCCGGGATCTTTCAGTCCCCAAGCCGATGCTCTATCCATTGAGCCAAACCGGTTTTGGCGGGCCTCTAGTTTTTTATAAAGCTTCCCAGGCTTGGGAAGGTCCCTGTGAAGAGCCTGCCAGACTGTCAACAGGGCCGTCAAGCCCTTCTGTCTTTTCTATGTGACCTTCTTTCCCACCTCTCTCCCCCCTACCAGGCTTTAATATTTTCTTTCTTATTCTTTCCACAAACTCCAGAAACCCAAATGAAATACACAATCAGTGGTAAAATTAGATAAATAAATAAATAAATAAATAAACAAACAAACAAACAGATTACCCATTAACAAGTAGCAGATGATAAAACAAATGGAATCACAGTGTAGGAAAGACACTCAGACAACAAAAACGATAGCTTTCTTACTCTACAGCACAGGAAGGATCTGCAGGGCGCCTCACCTGTCATCTCTGATGTGGTAGAAAACCCCGTAGCCGCTGTGCATCATGGGCACCACCACTCCCTGGACCCTTAAATAACCAATCAGACTTGTCGAGAGAACGAAGTTTCCACCTCCTCCACTGCACACAAAGGAAAGAGATCACAAGAGTCTTACCGAAGCTCGAATTGTTTCTGAAGAGCTTTTAACGGGGAAGGGGGGGTGGGGGGAGGGGGGGTAACCGGTAAACATAAGACACTACCTTCTATTACCTTCTGGAGAAGAGTGGGTCTGTAAAGAGCTCTGGGACAGGGAGACCTTCCTCTTTTGCTATGAGTGAAAGACCTAAAAGATGACGGTCAAATCCTACAACGAAACCCCAAACCTGAAGTTAGAAAAAACACTTCCAACATGAGAGGATTTTGTTCAAGTTAGAATAATTACAATGTAAGTACCTTTTCCAGAAGAACAATCTTTCATCATTTTATTATGTTTTTCAAAAGCTTGTAGCATCTTTTGCTGCCTTTCAAGAACCTGTTTTTAAAAATCAAGAGATACTTCACTGACAAACGGTACAAAAACCAAACAAATAAGAAACCTGGACTCAGAGAAATGAGGCTGCGGGTAACGGGGGGAGAAAGGGTTTTCTAGGGAAGACCCTGAGACACGTGCTGCTGTGTCTTCTTCTCACTGTTCTGCTGCTTTTCCTTTCCCACAAGCCCTGCATCTCAGTTCTTTCTTTCCAGAGACTGGAAAGCAGGAATGTATGGGAAGCACTGAAGTGACATTATCAAGTGTAAAGAAAGAAGCAACTCTAATTTAAAACTAAAGAATAGTCATACAAAATGATAATGATGCAGCTCTATGAAATTAAAACCATGTAACATATACTATGCCTATCAAAAGTAAAGAAACACATACAATGCTAAAGTGGCAGTGGGAAGGAACTATCCTGTTGTCTAAATGCCTCCAAAGGTATAAAACAAGACATATCAAACTGTTCTGGTTCTCACATATCAAAACAAGAATCTGTGATTTCAGAAACGTTCCACCACATTAAGAAAAACGTCCTCTCAAAAGCACCTTGGGAGTGTCTGCATCTCACTGGTGTTATTCTAAAGGCAGAGCAATCGTAGGGCAATGCTCAAGGTATTGAAGATGCTTTGTCTAGAAAAGGCACCGATGGGCTTCTTCTGAGGGGCTCCCTGTATCCTATTCTCTCCGCATACAGCCTTCCCTGGCAAATGAACAAACAGATGTTCTGAAAACTTCAGGTGGAAAAAGTCTGAAAGTATTTTACTGACCCGGGGGAACCAAGGGAAAGAAGCTACTTCTTTAGGGGCCAAGGTTCCCTGAGAACAAAGAAATTCTGTTTAGTCTTCTTTTCAAATACGCACACTGGCAGAAGGATCCTGCATGGATTGGCACCATCTGATGGCTTCCACTGTACACGATCGCACAGTCTCTGTACGGCCATGATAGAAAAACCTTGTCATGGCTGTTTCATAGCAGCAACCTGGGCTGGAAGAAAAAAAAATGAAAAAGAATGTATTATTCTAACAAAAATGCTCTGTTATTACATAATGACGCTGGCTTTGGTCAGAGACTAAGTTCTAGTAACACAAGACTACAGTTGATCTTCCAACAACGAAGATGCTAATTCCAGTATCAAAGAATAAAAACTACTCTGGCACGCAGGGTCTGGTGTAATACGGAACATGTCAAAGGGTTGGCTGCTGTCTGGGTGTGTACACTGGAGTCTGTGGTCTGTGGCCTGCATGCCGCCTGCCCCATAGTGATCCCGGTCTCTTGCTATTCATGCCCTTCACTTTGATGTGGGATGGACTTAGTGCCTTATTTCTAATGAAAAGTATATGCCAAGTGGGGGGATGTCACTCCTGAGAGTAGGTTACAGAGAGCTCACTCTTGCTCCCATCACCTTGCTCTGAGGAAAGCCAGGCTGCCATCCTGGGAGCTGCCTGCAGAGGCCCAGGTGGCGAGAAACTTGGGAAGGCCTCAGGGCAACAGCCTGGGAGGAATTAAACCCCATGAATCACCACGTGAGTGAGCCTGGAGCAGGTCCTCTCTGAAAGAACCTGCCGATGAGAACACAGCCCTCGCTGACACCCTGACTCTAACCTCACAATGGAGCCGACGTCAGAGGCACCGAGCTAAGCTGCAACTGGATTGCTGACGACAGCAATGACATATGACTTGCCCTGGCTGGTGTGGTTCATTTGGTTAAGCATCGTCCCTTGTACCGAAAGGTTGCCAGTTCAGTTTTTGGTCAGGGCACCTGCTCAGAATGTGAGCTTAATCCCAGTCAGGGTGCATGCAGGAAGCAGTCAATTAATATCTATCTCTATATCTATCTCTCAGATAAAAAGGTAGGGGAAACACTGGGAGTTAGAATGAAGTAGCCATGGTAAAGATATATATCCTTGTAGTTCAAGAGTCTGAAGATGGAAAATGAATGTCCCTCACCGTCCATGAAGTCTATAGTAGGCCAGTTGAAGTGCAAGCTGAACAAATGTATCAGGGTGAAGCATCATCTTCTTGGTTAGCTTTTTGCCAAAATGTGTAAAGGCATAACCCACAACCTGCAGATCAGATGCCTACCAAAAAGAATGAAATGGGAACAGTGAATAATCATCTAAGTAGAACATCCCAAAGATAGCCAGATTATCATTTGCATTACAGTACTTCAGACATAAAGGTATTAGAGCTATAATTTAAGTGTTTCATACTGTCATACTTAGATGCCAGCCAAGTATGCACTTATTTTTACATACAGTAGTTAAAAGAGATAGCATGCCCTGGCCGGGTGGCTCAGCTGGTTGTCCAGTACACCAAAATGTTGCAGGTTCTATCCTGGTGTGATGGGAGGCAACCAATTGATTCATATTCTCTCTCTCTCTCTCTCTCTCTCTCTTTCTCTCTTTCTCAAAAAAAAAATGTAACAAAAAACATAGGATAGAAAAAGAGAGAGACAGCATTACTATCTAAAAGAAAAGTTAAAAAAAAAAAAAAAAAAAAAAAAAAAAAAAAAAAAAAAACTACCTGCTTGAGATGCTGGGCTTTAGCATGATTGATGTCATTTACTACTTTCTCATCCACAGTGAAAACAAGCTCCTCTGGAAGTGGTATATCCCGTACTTTTTCTGAACCCTGAAAATGGGGAAGAATTAAGAATATTATATTTATAAAAATATGAGAAAGAAAGCTAAAATATTTGTTCTAACATACCTTCCATCTTCCTTCATTCTCCAAAATCTTCTCATCAACATAATAGCTGATGCTTACCATAACCATTGCATCAAAAGGAGCATGCTGAAACAAAAATACACAATATGTTGAAGACATTATATCAAGATGAAACTTGACCGATATTTTATTTTCGCTCTTTCTCCATTCTTTAACACATGTGCCCTGACCAGGAATTGAATCAGCAACCTCTTGGTACTGGGAGTATGCTCAACCAACTGAACCACTCCAGCCAGAGCAATGTCCACTATTTTTTTTATTTTATTTTTTTTCTACTGTGTAACCTGTTTCAGTGCCTGCAGCCTATGAGGAGAGGCCGGGCAATGGTTCATGTCTGCAGCTTGCTCTGGCATGGGGCACATGAGAGACCCAGGGGGTCGGGCCTGCCATCAATCCAAACCAATGCACTCATTCTTAAACAGTATGTTACACATTCTGCCTTCATATAAGTGAAATTAAAATGGTCACACTTAGGTGAACAAATAAAGCATCAGGAAAGCATTAGAATTTTTCATATTTTCTAATTTTTTTTTAAGTGATTATTAGCTTTCCACCAGGAGATGGATTGGTAGAATTCTAAGTGGAACAGATGTATATCCATTAGTTTTACTCTTTGTAACTGGTTCCAGTAAGAGTTAGAGATTAATGCCATCATCTTAAATGAAACAATGTATGTGATATCTGTGAAAATCCTTTGTAAATCTATAAAGCACCGCAGGGTTGTGGGATGCGGTTAGAAAAGGGGCTTGCCAGGTACCTGGGAGTCTTGTTAGGTGGCTGTTACTGACAGGTGGCCTCAGCTGCTGGAGCATCGTGCACTGACCTCCCACATGAGCCTTTCCTGATGTTGTGGCTGCTATCTATTTGGCAACAGTACACTGTGCTCCCAGGCTCCATGGCCACGGTTCAGGGCAGCAGAGCTACGTCACGTTAGGATGACATGTTAGACACCTAGTTTCTCCTCCTGAACCTCGGCCGCCCCTGTGGGCTGTGTTTGTAAGTTAAGCCTCCCTTCCTCCTCCCCCAGGCTAGCAGTGTCGCATTCAGTTCATGAATGGTGACTGTATGTAATGAATGGTGACTGTATGTAATGAATGGTGACTGTAGCAGCAGCACAGAGAAAACAGCTGTCTGATGTAATTGCCATCAAAGGAACGCGGAGAAAGCGAGGCAAGAAGTTTGTCCTTCCAAATAAACGATGGGAAAATTCACTAGCTGCAATTCCTTTCTCCACACACAGCTTTCAAACCTGGAACACCGTTACCCAGCCATCTTCCCCACAGCCCGTAAACACTGAGCGTTATTTCTGCCACTTCTGAGCACTCTTGCAGATATATGAATGAAGTCGTTATGCTTTTTAACACAGCTAGCAGGAAGTTCATGGCCATCCTCTACTTGGCCTTCAGGTAGCCTGTCATCTCCTCTGCTTTTGCACAGTGCTCTTAACGCTTCCAGAACATCTTTACATTGCATCCACAAGCTGGCTCTGACTTCCGGTACAAAGAGCAATTGTTTTCTTTAGATGGCTCATGTTTATTGCACACCCTCCCCATTACCTAATGAGGTGCTTCCAACTTTAAATATGTGTTCTTTCTCAGAAAATAAAATGATAATTACTATACTTTACAAGATCCATATTTTGATCACTAGATGATATGGGCATTTGAGAATTCTGCACTGTTTTTTCATGTTTCGGGCTGGATTCCCAGTAGGGGGCATGCAGGAGACAGCTGGTTGATTTTTTCCTCTCCCTCTCCCTTCCTTGTTCTAAAATCAATAAAAACATACTTTAAATAATAAATAATAAATAATAAATAATAAATAAAGTTGTGGACTTTGGTTCTGAGTCCACACCTATCTGCTAGTAATGCCTAATCTCATACAGCTGCTGTGGAAAATGATTTTAACAATGCTTATACAGTGGTTCCTATAGAACCTGGCTCACAGCAATAACCAATAACTACTGTGACTATTAATAACTATTTTTTACTACATGCTTCTATGTGCCCTTCACAAAGCCCTAAAGCCTATGTAGAGAAAACAAGCTCATTGACCCCAGGATTTTAAATCCCAAGAGGGAAATGTGATTAATTAGTATAATCGCAAAAGCAGATATTCAAGAACCAATGGGCAAGAACAGCATCAGGACCTTGAATTAAGAACAGTTTTACTTTACATTATGTGAATACTTACTAATGCTGTTTTACATGGATTTTAAATTGCATTTTCTGTAACATCTTAGGTTATCAAGGAAACCTACCTGTAATTTTAAAAGCAGATTACATGTGGAGATAATCAGGCTCATTTTATGAATATATGGGTGTTAATGAATACATATAAAACATGTCCATATAGTATATAGTATATAGTATATAGTATATAGTATATAGTACAGTGTATGGTATAAGTGGGTAATCTAGTTTCATTTTTTTGCATGTCCTTGACCAATTTTTCCAGCACCATGTATTGAAGAAACTGTCTTGACTCCATTGTATGCTCTTGCCTCCTTTGTCAAATATTAATTGAGCATAATAGCTTTGGTCAGTTTCTGGATTCTCTGTTCTGTTCCATTGGTCTATATGTCTGTCCTTGTGCCAGTACCAGGCAGTTTTGAGAATACCCTGTTTCCCCGAAAATAAGACAGTGTCTTATATTAATTTTTGCTCCCAAAGATGCGCTAGGTCTTATTTTCAGGGGATGTCTTATCTTTCCATGCGCTAGGTCTTATTTTCGGAGGATGTCTTATTTCCGGGGAAACACGGTAGTGCCTTTGTAATACAGCTTGATACCTGGTATTGTGATCCCTCCAACTTTGTTCTTCTTGCTCATGATTGCTGTGGCTATTCGGGGTCTTTTTTTATTCTATAATTTACAATAGCTAAGATTTGAAATCAGCCTAAAGGCCCATCAGCAGATGAATGGATTAAAAAACTGTGGTAGGCCGGGACCGGTTTGGCTCAGTGGATAGAGCGTCGGCTTGGGGACTGAAAGGTCCCGGGTTCGATTCCGGTCAAGGGCATGTACCTTGGTTGCAGGCATATCCCCAATGGGGGGTGTGCAAGAGGCAGCTGATCGATGACTCTCTCTCATTGATGTTTCTAACTCTCTATATATCTTCCTTTCTCTCTGTACAAAATCAATAAAATAAAATAAAAATAAAAAATAAAAAACTGTGGTAGACCTACACAATGGAATTCTACACTGCTGTAAAAAAAAAGGAACTCTTACTATCTGCAACCGCATGGATGGACCTGGAGAGCATTATGCTAAGTGAAATAAGCCAGTCAGAGAGAGATAAATATCACATGATCTCACTCATTTGTGGAATATAATGAACAACATAAACTGATGAACAAAAAAAGATCCAGAGACAGAGAGGCATCGAACAAACTGTCTAACCTCAGAGGGAAAGCAGGGGAGGAGGGTAAGAGATCAACCAAAGGACTTGTATGCATGCATATAAGCACAACCCATGAACACTGACAGTAGGGGGCTGAGGGCATGTGCTGGGGGGTGGAGACAGCAGAGGAGAAGTCAATGGGAGAAAAAGGAGACATATGTAATACTTTAAACAATAAAGAATTTAAATTAAAAAAAAAACTAACAAAAAATCTACCTCATACTATACTTTATACCAAATTACATACTTTATGAAAAGTGTTACAATGATATTACAAGTGTGTACTGCAAATCTGACGAAGGTTGACTTTTAAATTTTCTTGATTCACAGAACTCCTGAATATCTACCAGAAGATGGAAAGGGAGAACAAGAGAAATAAGCAAAGATTTTTTTGTTGTTTTTTATAAAGAAGGTAAAAATATTATTAAATATCAGACATTTTAAAATCCATAGTATAAATAATGTTCTAAATTGCATGTGTCACTTTGGGAAAATAGTTTCAAAATTACTAGGTAAATCTAGAAATATCCGCATATATTTCTTTGTGCATAGAACATGTATAACGCTATATATTTTTTAAAAATAGATAATTCTCAATGGTGAATTTTAAAGTGCTTATACTACATAAAAATATATGCAAATTCAACTTTGCACATACATACAAACTATCAGCTTTACTACAGATTAAAAAAACTTGTCCTACACTCTACTTTCACAGAGTAGAACTCATAACTAAACCTTTTATGATGATGACATAAAAATGCAGAAGTGTCTACTCATACTACCACACCACAGCATAAATATTGTAGCTTATTGCCATTAAACCAACCTAAAAGATAAAAAAGAAAAAGTAACTATAGTAGGTTACTTACATCACAATTACAGCCTAGTACTCCATTAGAAAAGGAAATCAAGTTGTAAGATTTGTCACCCCAGCGTACTGTTGGATCTCCACCGAGGATCATTGCAATTCCCTAAAATAATTTAATATTTCCAAATTAAAAGGATTTTAATATTGATTTATAAGTATTTATATCTTAAACAGACACACACACACACACACACACATGCTGGTACATATATGTAAATATAGTCTCACTTTTCCCTTTCAGGTAAACCAGATTAAAATAATGATAACCGTTATATTTATGAGATAATAATTCTGTCCTCTAGATATTTCTTAAAAGTCTTGAGAAATCCTCTATAAAAGAGAATATTAGTACAATATACATAAATGTTTAGAGAACATACAATTGAAAGGACAATGTTTTTGCAATTTGAATAGTGTTAAGAGGCCTTGATAAATTCAGTCATTAAAATTTAGTTATGAGAAAAATATTTCAAAATTCAGATCCCACCACACCTGTTTCTCAAACAATAGGTTTTGGCCCACTAGTTGAGTCATGAAATGAATTTAGTGCATCACAATATGTATTCTTTACAAAAAGAATCAAATAAAACACAAATATCAGAATACATCACAAATAGTAAAAGTAATTACTGTTTTGTGAAACTTCTATTATATACATGTGAGTGCATAAGCTTGTGTGTGCGTGTGTGTGTGTGTGTGAGTGTGTGTGTACTTGTATGTTGTTAGGACAGACCTCAACAACTAAGGTTTCAAGGCACACATGTGTGGGTCATAGGTAGGTTCTCATGTGCGAGCTGCAGTCTAAATGTATGTCTAACTGTAGTTGCAGTAAAAAAAATACTGCATTAAAATATATTCTTCCTCAAGAAATTTGGTGATTCTTTTGCCAAAATAAATTTAAAAATTAAGAAGAGGAGCCAGGACCGGTTTGGCTCAATGGATAGAGCGTCCGCTTGGGGACTGAGGGGCCCCGGATTCGATTCCTGTCAAGGGCATGTGCCTTGGTTGCGGGCATATCCCCGGTAGGGGGTGTGCAAGAGGCAACTGATCGATGACTCTCTCTCATTGATGTTTCAAACTTTCTATCTCTCTCCCTTCCACTCTGTACAAAAATCAATAAAATATATATTTTAAAAAAAAATTAAGAAGAGGAAAAGTTGGTTTCTAGCTACAAGTTTATTCAATTCTATCTTATTTTATTGCTATCATTCCATATTGATGAATGCATTATGAAATAATTTAAGTGAGACTTCTATAAATATGACTTCCACCTTTTATTATTTCCCAAAAAATGATAATATTTTCCCAGGGGTAAAAAGGTAAGGCCACATTTACCCTTAAACTCACGACAGTCAGTTTGTTCAGTAACACCTAATGATAAAATAAATTACTTACAGTTTAATATAATTCTTAGGACAGACCTCAACAACTAAAATTTCAAGGCACACTGGTGTGGGTCATAGGTAGGTTCTCATGTCACCATTGGCATGAAAAGCTCATTTAGCCCAGTGACCTGTGCAAATTTTCTATATATGCATTCAATAAAAAGGATTGAGAAACCCTGATATGGGATATGCAAAGAATAGTCATACTTCTTTAAACAACGTACAAGATTTATCTAACTGGCCCTAAACAATGTGGAAAGAATTCACGAAGCATTATTTATCTACTAGAAACCCGATATACAAATTTGTGTATGGGTGTGTCCCTCAGTCTGGCCCACGAGCGGGGCTGAATGGAGCCAGCCTCCAGGGTGAGGGATCACAGGAGGTTGGCAGTACTAGCGCACTGACCACCAGGGGGCAGCTCCTGCCTTGAGCATTTGCCCCCTGGTGGTCAGTGTCCATCATAGCTACTGGCTGGTTGTCCAATCATCCAGTCATCCAGTCATAATGGTCACTTAGACTTATATATATCTATATATCTATATATCTATATCTATCTATCTATCTATCTATCTATCTATCTATCTATTTATCTCTAAATATAAAAGCCTAAGCGACTTAATGACCGGAAGACTGGTCAACCAGTCGCTATGATGTGTACTGACCACCAGGGGACAGATACTCAATGCACAGGATCAGGCCTGTAGGGATCAGACCAAAACTGGCTTATCCAACATCCCCCGAGGGGGCCCAGATTGTAAGAGAACACAGGCCAGGCCAAGGGACCCCATCAGTGCACAAATCCATGCACCGGGCCCCTAGTCTAAAGTATAAGCTTCAATTTGGTATATATTAGGTAGGAAAACATTTTAAGAGCCTACATATAACAAAATAATCTTCTCATGTTCAATACACACAAGAGTCCCCCAGAAAAAATTTGTGGGAAGAAATAACAGAACAAGATAGTTAAGTACCTGCGAATAATCTTCTGGTGTTACGTGTGGACTTCCGTCCTCTATGGAATACACCAGCAAACTGCTCTGAATTTTTTCTAACCTAGTCAAGTTCTCTGGATCAAGACTAATCAAATAGTCTCGTGCCTAAAGGAGATAATAATTGAATGTTACAAATTAAGTAATACTATATCCAGGAGAGAAAAGGTTCGTTAAGAAAAGTATATCAGCCGAGACCAGTTTGGCTCAATGGATAGAGCGTCGGCTTGGAGACTGAGGGGTCCCAGGTTCGATTCTGGTCAAGGGCATGTACCTTGGTTGCAGGCATATCCCCAGTGGGGAGTGTGCAAGAGGCAGCTGATCGATGACTCTCTCTCATCGATGTTTCTAACTCTCTATCTCTCTCCCTTCCTCTCTGTACAAAATCAATAAAATATATATTTTTTTAAAAAGTATATCATTAATAATGTATTAGATATTTGAAACTTGCTGGGAGTAGATGTTAGAATTTCTCATTGTAAGAAAATAAATTTGTAATTATGGTTGCACATTAACTAGACACTATGGTGATAATTTCACAATATGTACAAATATTGATTCATTATGTCATACACCTGATAACAGTGTAATGTTATATGTCAATCATAGTTCAATTTTAAAAAAAAGAAGAAGTGTAAAGTGTAACCTTTGCCCATCGAGTTCGCTCCTCGCTAGTTAATGCTGCCACCCCAGGCCCATCAGGTTCGCTACGGCACTTGTCATGGATGTACGTCAGTTGCCTTAAGGAAGATGAAAGAAAGAGAATTCATAAAGAGCATAGGCAGGATCACTAGCTACTTTGGCCTTTAATAGGCCATAATGTTTACCAGTGTTTAAATGCTCTGATATATTATCCAAAGTAAAGGGATTATAATCTCAACAGTAATGGATTTATTTCCAATACCACATCATTTTTTAAAAAGAGAACTACATGAGCAATTAACACCAAAAGTGAATTGATAATAAACTTAAATAAATAAATATGGTGTTTGGCTGATATAATTTATACTTTTAAAATGTTCATGCACTTTCAGAATCTAAGTAAATACCCCTTACACAAGAGAAAACTTGAATAATATTCTGGTAAAGAATCTTACAAATATCATACACAATGAGAAAACTGGATTGCACATACAAAAGAATGGAACTGGATCCCTATTTTATATCATACACAAAAATCAATTCAACTGGATTAAAGATATAAATGCAAGACCTTAACAATAAAACTTATAAAAAAAAAACACATGGGGAAAACCTTCTAACAACGTTGGTCAGTATTTCTGATAGTGGGGAAGGGCACCTAGTAAGAATAGAGCCACAGCTGTTTAATAATTATTCACCCTGCCCAGCCAAAGTGGCCCAGTGGTTAAGCATCAAGCTATGAACCAGGAGGTCACAGTTCGATCTCTAGTCAAGGCATATGCCTAGGCTTTGGGCTTGATTCCCAGTGAGGGGCATGCAGGAGGCAGCTGATCAATGATTCTCTCTCATCATTAATGGTTCTCTCTCTCTCCCTCTTTAAAATCAATAAAAATATATATTTTTAAAATTCTATATGTACATATAAGTAGATAGGTAAGGTTAGATAGAATACAACAAACTAGTAACAGTGATTAACTCAGGGGCACCAGAAGAAATTGGTAGTATTTGTAATGTTTTCCTTTTCTCCAATTCGAATATATTCATATATGCCTAGTAAAGCAAAAAAATTAATATAAATTAAAAAGATAAAAGTATTTTTTTAATTCAGCATATATAAAATTCTTAATTTTCTGTCACCTTATAAATAGGCAATTCTAAATTTATTTTTAACTCATGCAAAAGCTTAAGACCTAATTAGATTCAAGAAAGTAGTTTGAAAACCTGAGAATCTCTGGTTGGGTGATCAAACATCCTTCATGAATTGCATCAAAGACAAAAACTCGGCCTCGGCACAGCACTACAATGTGACTTGGGGAATACCCTTCACTCTCTGGGGGAAAAAACACAGAAAATACAAAACCAAATCTTTCAGAGTTAAACAAGAGTAAAGTTGCATATACATTCCTCCAATATTTTATTTATCAAGTATTCAATATGTCACATGAACAAAACACTCATAAGGTGATGCAATTCCAGTTATTATGATATAAATGCATGCTTCTGAAACCTATCCATGTGAAACATCTAGAAATCCATTTGAGTTTCAAATATTTATACACCTTGAAAATCATACAAATTCCAAACTGCTGCAGGACTTTTTAGTGTTATTTACGGATAGGAGTGGGAAGAGGAAAGGGTAGCAGAGGGACCCTGAAAGAGAGCTATTTGAATTAGCAAGTTTCTCTTTCGTATTATTTTAATGTTGGCTGTAATAATATCTAGCTATTATTTCTCAATAAAATAGTTTTCAGGAGAATAAGGGCACAGTATGCTTGAGTGGCAAGGAGAAAGAATTCTGCTCAATCTGTAGTTTTATTTAAGGCTCTGATAACACCCGGGAAGCCACTGGTATCTGATATCAGATTCTGTGTTTCCTTTGGCACACCTTAGCTCCCTAAGAACTAGTTTGCTATAAACCTCAGGCTATTCTGATTTAGCCTCATTTTTTCAAGTACTAGTCCCTTCAACAAGGGTCTTCTGGTATGAGCCCTGCTCCTTCCCTCTAAGAAAGGGGGAGAGGGGGATTGGGGAGTGAAAGAATAGTTAGAAAAAAACATATATTGCCTCTGGAAAGAAATTTACTGGTTGATATTATGTACAAGGAACTGTGCCAAATGCTTTATACATTATCTCATGAAATCTATTTATCAACTACTCATCTCCTGATAGGAATACTAATTCTTCCCTTATCTCCTATTTCCTCAAGTCCTAAGAGGTGAGGCATGTATTTTCCTTGTCCCTCGTGGCTCATTCCAACCCATTTCTTCTCTCTTCTCCTTCAATGCTCCCCCTTTCTCTTTTACATTTACCACCGTGATCTTTTATTATTGTCATCTACTGACTACAACCTGGCAAAATTTTAAGGCTGGAAAAGAACAAGCAAAATAAAATTCTGGCTGGAAAAGAACAAATAAAAGCAAATTCACAATGAAGAGGGGCATGATGAGCACATATAAGCTCCCACTCAAAAAGAACCTTCAGATAAGAAGTAATGAGGGTGGAAACAGAACCCAAATTATATTCTCCAGATTTCCTAATACTCTGATTCGCAATTCTCCTCTCTTAACTAAAATTTAAATTTTCAAATGATGTAACATAAGCATCAAGTTGATATAACACCATGTAAGACACAGTTTAGGAAATCCATTCCCATAAATCACTTTAAACTAATCTGAATGACTGAAAAATAAGGTTCACAGGAAGCCTTTGATTAGTCAAAATCCAAACAGAAATATTCTCCAAATTGTTTCATAGTGTCATAGAAACTACAGCAAAACTACCCAAATTCCAATGCCTTTCCCAAAGAAAGTACCAGTATTTTCTACTTACCAGTCCTAAAATAATTCATAATTGAATCTCTAGAAATTCCTGGAATCTTACAGGTTGAAAATAACATTCGGAATTGATTCATATCTAGAGGAGTATTTCCAACTTTATCAACAGGCCATTTTTCTCTATTAAAACAAAAAGTAAGTACTTTAAGAAGTAATTATAAAACTTATAAACCAAATAGTCACTACTGTAATATTCATCCCCAACTAAATAAAGCTTCTCAACTTTACCTGAGACTTTGGATAAATTTCATACTAAATTCACATTAGTTTTCTTACTTTCTTAACAGCTGCCAGTAGTTCAAGTTATGCCAAAGACTTATGCTTCCTCTTTCCAATTGTGTGCCTTCCTTTGGAGGCCAGTAGTGTTCTATATGGGACGCCGGACCACCAAAGTTGACATTCAGTTGTGATGGTGTACGGACATCCAGGTAGGCAACATTCAGCCACCACTCTTCCAGCTGAAATAAAGAACATCAGCCTAATGGTACTGACAATACATGAGTAAGTAAAAAATAAGTCACTGTTTACTTGTGTTTTTTCCCCTCTCTTTTCTTTGGAACTGTAGGGTATTAAATACTATTGAATTTAACTACGTTGTCAAAACATGAAACAAAAAGCACTTTCAGGCAGATCAAGTTGAAGTCGCAAATACTTGACACTGTATTTAGGGGTGTTTTCTCAGAGTACCTGGGGTACAATAGCTCCTCAATAAATCCTCAATTAAGGGCCTTACCATTTTCCTTTTCTAAGCAAAAACTAAAATACTAAATCAAAAATATAAAAACTTTTTGAGTAGGTTTAAAAAACTAATTTAGGTTTTTCACAGACAATGTTCTGAATCCCTCCTTTCACTATATGCACTTGAATTTCATGCATCAGAAACAGATTCTAGAGTTATTACCTAGAGTTATTTTTTAAGAAACTGATGTTCTCAATTATAATCAATCATTCAAAAAAAAGATATAAATAAAAAGGATACAGACAAAACAACTTGTTACCTTTACCCTAATTTAATTAATTAATATCATTCAAGGTTCGCCCTGGCCAGTGTGGCTCAGTTGGTTGGAGCATCATCCCATATACCAGAAGGTGTCAGTTTGATTTCTGGTCAGGGAACATACCCAGGTTGTAGGTTCGATCCCATTGGGGCATGAGCAGGAGGCCATCTATCAATGTTTCTCTCTCCCCCTCCCTCCTCCTCTCTTACTCTCTCGGAGATTAATTTTTTTAAATTAATTCAAGGCTCAAGATTGAGAATAAAGCAATCTGGACGTATAAAATTATAAAATTTTATTATTTCATTATAGGTACCGATGGCTGATGAAAAAATAAGCTTGCTTTTTCATTTCTAAGACTACAATAACTGTAATCATTTCTAAATTAAAGTAATTTTAAAATCAATCCTTTGGTAAAACTACACAAGTAGAGTAGTTAAGCAGTCAAAGAAGATTCCTTGTAGAAAATTGATATCCTTAATAATTATTATATCAATGTGTCATTAATCTAATTGTCACACAGAATACTAAACCGTTTCCCACTCCAATTTTGTAACGGCCCTTTTTCTCACTTGCATTGTTTCAATAGTTGTACACCATCGATATGATAGGTCTATTTTAGTAGCATTTTGATGTTTTTTAGGCAACAATGACCTAGATAAAATGTTTCTCTGAAGGTTAGTATACAAACCACGTGGAGTAGTTGTTAAAACAAGGATTTCTGGGTTTTATTCCAGAGATACTGCATCAGAATGACAGGTCTCAGGAAATCTGCATTTTAACAAGTTTTCCATATTATGAGAGAGTAGCCCACCCACAACATTCAGAACTCCAGGGTCAAGCAGTTTATTAATTCTTCTGAATGATCATCATAACAATAGTGACTGCAAGAATTTTTACGGTAATAATTTTAAAACAGAAGCTATGTGCATTTTTATTTTTCATTTTTTAAGCATCATCAATTTTCTAAGCTTACGTATGATAACATACATACCCAATTTCTTTTTTCTTTTGCCCTTTCAAGTAATTTCTTGTGCAATTTTTCTCCAATACCATATTGAAATTTTTTTACAATTTCTTCAGTTTTCTTATATTCTTCTTCATTTGCAAATGGCTTTACTATAAAGAAAAAAAATGCATTAAAGTAGTTAGACCTCAGGTACCACAAACTCTCCTCATTATTATTTACACAAATATTGAGATTCACTTATGTAAAACAATTATGGAATATTAATTATCACAGCAGTCCAATAAATTAGAGTTTACAACATGAAAATAGCTAAAGAGCAACAATAAAAATACTGTAAAAAATAAAACTGGAAATTATGTAATCTGAAAAATTATTTTAAAATCATTATGGATGATAATTAAAATGACAAAAGCAGGACTATCATGTAGTTATCAGTCCAAAAGGAAAATAAATCCTGTTTAGCCACAAATAAAAGAAAGTAAAGCAACTGTCCACTAATGCACATTGCATTTATAATGCTCTGCTTGAACAAGTATAATGCCTGCCCAAGTATAGTGTTTGGTGTCCTGTGGTCAATAATGGTTTACTTTACACAAAAAAAAAAAAAAGAGAGAGAGACAGGGAAACAAGAAAAAAGAAAGATACATGGCCGAAACCTGTTTAGCTCAGTGGATAGAGCGTCAGCCTGCGGACTGAAAGGTCCCAGGTTCGATTCCGGTCAAGGGCATGTACCTTGGTTGTGGGCACATCCCCAGTGGGGGGTGTGCAGGAGGCAGCTGATCGATGTTTGTTTCTCTCTCGTCGATGTTTCTATCTCTCTCCCTTTCTCTCTGTAAAAAATCAATAAAATATATTTTTTTATAAAGAAAGATACATGGTTCTTAATCCAACAAAACCTAGTGCTCTGAAAATTAAACTATATCTACAAGTATTTTAGAAATCTTGGGACATTAATATTTTGTCCTATTTTGCCTTTTCAAAATTGTATCTTAAAATCAATTTAAATATCTGTATTTATATAGCGTACAGGTGAATAATCAAAAACAATGATTAATCAATGAATTAAAAAAAAATACTAGAATTTCCAGATAAAAGTAGATGAGAAAAAAAGGAGAAAAAGAATTTAAAAAGCATATAAAAACCAGACGGCTTCCATTTAAAGTGAGCTAAATACATAGGTTACCTCTACTACTTATAGAAACTCACTACAATGACAGTAATTAAAAAGGTATAAATCTGTCAGGACAAAAAAAAAAAAAAAGAGAGAGAGAGAGAGGACAGTAGATACGTCAAGCTAAAATTTTACAAATTACAAAACACATGGGAAAATGGCAACTGACTGTGGAATAGAGCAAAGTATTTACAGCGGGAGGTAGGGTTGAGTTAGGTGTAACAGGAAGCCAGTTAATTCTTGCAATATAATCCTAGAAAGGCTCAGGAATTTAAGACACCTGTAACTCCAAAGGCAGGGGGTAAACTGAGGCTGGAAACAGTCTTTAGAAGCAGCTCACAATTGCCCTATCGACACTGGCATCTGTATAAAAAGCCAGAAAACTTCCTCTAATGCCAGCAGAAATGGGGAGGTTTACTCTCAGGAGAAGTTAAACCAGACAAGCAGAATACCTGGGTCCTAGCTCAAACTGAAAAAAGACAGATGGATTATGATGAAAGTACGTACCCGGAACAATGAGCCCTCCAAATCCCTCCCCTTTTCTAAGCTCCCCAGACACCAGCAGTCAGGCTTATGCCTTCTAAACAAATGATACCAGGATTTTTCTTTGGTGAAACTGATCAGAATAAGAGAAAGGAGTACTGGTATTTGGGTGTGACCTAGGAAAACTGCTAGTTCTCTTCCCTATTACCCTAGAAGGCTCACTCTAAGGCTCACTAGTCACCAAGCCCTCAGACCCATGCACACAGAGCTCCTACTCAGTGTTTTAGGGTCTGACTCAAATACAATGTCTGAGGATTGCCAGATATTTGAGGAAAATCACATGAGTCAGACAGCAGAACTAACAAAGGATTGGTAATATCAAAGAGTAAACAGACCAAAATGGCGAAGGCATTAATCATGAATATACATTCCAATTTTCAAGAAAGGAGATGCCAAAGGTGGGCAGTATCTCGAAGATCATCACACAAGGAAAGTGATGTTCAAGGTGAAGCAGCAAAGGTGTTTACCTTTTAGGAAATGCTGGGTGTTCAAGCTGGATTCAGAAAAGGAAGAGGCACTCTAATTGCAAGCATTTGGCATTTGTTGGATACTGGAGTGCTCCAAAGAATTTCAAAAGGTTAGTCTATGGGTTATAGACTACAATAAAGCCTTAGACTACATCAATCATAAAAATCTATTGGTTGCTCTAAAATAAATGGCGTGCCTCAGCATTTGATCATCCTGACACGTACCTTGTATAGTGGACGGGAAGCCTCTGTCAGGGCAGAATATGGAGAGACAGAAGAGTTTCCTACAGGCAAAGGTATCAGACAGGGATGCATTTTATCTCCCTATTCTTTAATCTGTACATAGAAGATGGCATACAAAAGACTGAACTATACTCAAAGGAAGAAGGAGTGAAATTGGTGAAAGAGCTATTATAATTTAAGATATGGAGATGACACCATCTTACTGGCAGAAAGTTGCAATGATTTAAAAGGACTTCTGAAGAAAGTGAAAGAAGAAAATGCCAAGGTAGGTCAATATTTGACCAGCAAGGCAAATATCATAACTACAGAAGAAATACACAACTTTAACAAAGATAATGAAGACATCAACATTTTTAAAGTTTTGCTTACCTTGGCTCAGTCAGCAATTCAAATGGAGATTGCAGCCAAGAAATCAAGAGAAAGTGGAGATTCAGAAGGACAGAAATGAAAAAATTAGAAAAGATCACCAAATGCAAAGCTGTGATATTAGACAATACTTAGATCATCCACACCCTTGTATTTCCAATAAATATATATGGGTGCAAAAGTTGGACAGTGAAGAAGGCTGACAGGAAAAAAAAATGGACTCATTTGAAACATGGTATTGGAAGAGAGCGCTATGGGTATTCTGGGCCACCAGAAAGAAAGAACAAGTGGATCCAGTAGTATGCCTGAAATAGCACAGGAGGAAAAAACGACAAAACTGAAGCTGCCCTACTTTGGGCACATCGTGAGAAGGCAGGGTTCTTTGGAAAAGACAACAGAACTGGGTAAAATAGAAGACAACAGGAAAGGAGGAAGACAGGGGGACTGACTGAGGAAAAGAAGCCTTAGGAATGAGTCTACATGAGCTGAGCCGGGCTGCTGAGGACTGGACGTTGTGGACCTCACTCACTCACAGAGTTGCCAGGAGTCAAAGCTGACTCAACAGCAATTAATACGCTAATAACGAAAGGGAAACATTTTAAAATTCAAAGCTTAGCCTCCAAGGACCCAGATCCAAGCAGCAATAGTTCCAGAAATAGCAAAGAAGTGGGGGGGGGGGGGGGGACCACCAAATAAATATTTCAAAAATTTCCTAGAATTAAAGAATATTAACTTTTTAAACTAAAAGAACCCACTGGGTATTCAGAGAAATAAAAGAAAGAAACCTGCACACTAAGTGACATAATTGAGAAATTCAGAATGGTAGGAATAAAAAAAAGAAGTTGCCAGACATAAAGGATTGAATATCAGAACAGCATTAGACTTCTCAAGAACAGACAGTGTCTTCAAAAATGCTTTAAAAGTATCATTTCCAACCAAGAATTTTATTTATTTATTTTTTAATATATTTTATTGATTTTTTACAGAGAGGAAGGGAGAGAGATAGAGAGTTAGAAATGTCAATGAGAGAGAAACATCGACCAGCTGGCTCTTGCACACCCCCGCAACCAACATACATGCCCTGCCCGGAATCGAACCTGGGACCTTTCAGTCCGCAGACCGACGCTCTACCACTGAGCCAAGCCAGTTTCGGCTCCAACCAAGAATTTTAGAGTCGGCCAAACAATCAAGCATGAAGGCAGAAGAAATGTTTTTAGGTCCTACATTATTTCCCTCCCAGATACCCTTTCTCAAATGGTTTCTAAAAATATTCTGCACTACAATATGAGAAGAGAAAGAGGAAAAAGAGAAAGATAGAATCCAAGAGCCAGGGACTCCAAAAGAGGAGGAGGGAGGAGAGCTGCCAGGATGATGACCAACGAAAAGCCGGAGGACAACAGCTGCCCCACCAGTTCTAGAATCGCTGACTGGAGCAAAAGGGTAGAGGTGTCAGCAGGGTTGCCTTCAAGAAAAAAAGTGAAACAAAGAATATCTTATGTATTCGATATTTAAATATATTCAGAGATTCTCAGTGTATTAAAGTGTTTGGGAGTGAATTAGTTGTGAATACAAAACAAACTAAGCAAATGAAAAAATGGTAGGGGGAGAAGGGGAGGCGGGAGCAGGATGCAGCAAAAAGGTAATCAAAGTTCACTCAATGGTTCGCATGTGAATAACTGCAAAACCATAAACCCTAAATGGTCAGCTAAATCAATTCAGGTAAATACCGATTTGTATCAGGTGCAACCCTAAGTTAAATCAGGTGAACACTAATTTAATCCCAACTGGTGACTTGTACAACTATATTGAGAAAATGAGAGGGAAAATGTGGATATGTTGGATTGCGTATATGTTGGGGAGGGGGGAGATTAGGGGTGTAAGAGGGTTAAATCCACATATTTTTAGGAACTGATTCATAATATCAACCACCAAAAAAAATCCATGAAATAGTAACATAAATATAAGCCTGGAGATAACACAATAAACAGATAAATTATTTTTTAAATGCTAGCTTGATAGAGCGGGATTTGCAGAGGGTGGGGGGTAAGGCAGAGAACTACTACTTTTTATTATAAGCCTAATTGGTACTATATGACTTTTTAAACTATGGAAAAATTAACATAAGAGGAAAATGTGGTCATTTTAAGGATATTTAATTGTCATGATTCTAAAAGAAAAAGCAATTAGATCTTCATCAACTTGTAACAATTTCATAGTTTTTTAAGTTGCTAACAACAATTATACTAAAAGATTAAAAACGCACCTGATTCAAGGTATTTATTCAATGATTCTTCAAGTGAAGGAACCGGCAGTGATGGAAGAGAATCCTGGTACTGAAATGTTCGTTCCTCAGTTGACTTAGCCAATTGATTTTCCATGATGCAATCACAGTAGGAAAACTAAAGAAAAAAGACAGCATTCACAATTTCAGCCTCATAAATATTCTTATATATGGTAGGTCCAATTCACTAAATCAGTATTTAGGTACCACAGTATATCCAGAGCTTGGTCCTTGTACTTAGTAACTTCATAAACTTGTCAGTGAGAGAACCCACTTTTTAAAAAGTATAGACTCTGAAGGAAAGCCAAGTTTGCCACCCCAAAATATACCTTTTTTGGAATATTAATTATTTTAAGCTCATTATTTTTAAGAAATAAAAGACTCAGGAAAAACTTTTAGGTTATTAAACAACCTAAAAGAATTTGATAGAGGACCTGCTTCAGGGAGGAAAGCAATAGATAACTATAATTAAACTAGTGGCCTGGTGCACGGATTTGTGCACACTGAAAGGAAATTAATTAGAATATTTTAATATTGCTATTGGTCCAAGTGCCAACCAAATTCACGATCAACAATGACAGATCAAAAACCAGGTGTGCAATTGGCATCAGCGAGAGCTTTATATGTATCATGCATGGGCGAGTCAATGTTTATTTTTAAACTAGAGGCCCAGTGCACAAAAATCATATACTCAGAGGGGGGGGGGGGCGGGGGGGGTTGTCCCTTAGCCCAAACTGCACACTCTCACAGTTCGGGAGCCTTTGGGGAATGTCCGACTGCCATGGAGGCAGGAGAGACTTCCACCACCTCCCCTGTGCTTGCCAGCCGTGAACCCGGCTTGTGGCTAAATGGAGCTCTCTCTGTGGGAGCACACTGATTACCAGGGGGCAGCTCCTGCATGGAGTGTCTGCCCCCTAGTGGTCAGTGTGCATCATAGCAACTGGTCATTCTGCTGTTCGGTCTATTTGCATATTAGCCTTTTATTATATAGGATTGTCAGTGCATGTCATATGTACCAGCCATCGGTAGGATGGACAGACTGTCAGTCACTTAGCCTTTTAAATACATAGATAGATATAGATATAGATATAGATATAGATATAGATATAGATATAGATATAGGTATAGGTATAGGTATAGGTATAAATATAGATAGATATATTTATAGATAGATAGATAGATAGATAGATAGATAGATAGACAGATAAAGTTAAACGTGATATACAGGGAGGAACTTAGCAAGGCATCTGATCATTGCTAAAAATAGCCCAGGAAACATTCATTTACCAAACACTTGCTTTCCACATGAATTGCCTCCCTGCCCTTGGAAGCCCCACACCACAACCTCCCAATTTGATTACTGGGCCAAATCAAAGAATTTAGCATGGCTTTGTGATTTGTGTGTCACCTCCAGTCATGCCCCTCTAAAGGAATGCACGTGGTTTCTCTCCTCACTGCCTAGCAGGTAGTCCCAACTGGAAGAGCACCTTCAGCCCATTTATGGAAGCCATGTACAGACATAAGGTACAGGCATACCTCAGAGATAATGTGGGTTCGGTTCCAGACCACTGCAATAAAGGGGGTAGTAATCTTTTTGTTGGTAGAGGGTCTTGCCTTTAATTTATAAAAAATCTGTGAAGTGAAATAAAACAAGGGGAGCCTGTAATGAGGCTTTCAGAAGCTTCCTACTAGCCCTGTACCCCGCCCTCTAGTCTAGATTTATGACAAGAAAAACAAAAACAAAAAGAACCTTTTCTCTTACTTACACCCTTGCATTTTGGGTTTCCTTTGTTAGGGTAGAAGAGCTTAGCCTATCCCACTAATGTAAAGATATAAAATGTGATACAACAGAGCTCTCATAGCTCCCCAGCCTCTTCCTGTCTGATGCCTTTTGCTGCACTTCACTTTGACTACCCATAAACATGGCTTTAGGCCCAATGGAAATGTAGATCTGGGTTTAAATGCCAACTCTGATACTTCCTAGACATGTGCCCATGGAAAACTAACTTTAAATCCATTTCCTTAATTATAGAGAGCATCTATAATAATAAAAGCGTAATATGCAAATTGACCGAACGAGTGACTAGCAGACGACTGTCCAGAAGACCTTCTGGATGACTATGCTATGACATGCACTGGCACCAGGCCAGCCAAGGCAGGTGCAATGCAATTGGTTGGGGAGCCCCATGATCGCCCCTCAGGAAGAGGCCCAGGCCATCTTCTGTGGGCTCCATGATCGATTCCCCACAGGAGTCCCAGACAAGCAAAGCTATTGCACCTCACACCTGTCACCCACAGAGGAAGGCAAGTTGAGCGATTGCACCTCACACCTGTCATCGACAGAGGGAAGCGAGGAGGGGAGGGGATCTCTGCACAGATGCAAGCAGTGCCAGCGGGGCCAGCTGCCGGCAGCCAGGGGAAGGAAAGTCCCCATAGGCCCTGATCGTTTACCAGGCCTAGGAACCCTACCCAAGGGGTCCTGGACTGTGAGATGACACAGGCTAGACTAAGGGCCCGCCCGCCCTCCACACCCCCCCTCCACTATGCACAAATATCGAGCACGTGGCCTCTAGTAATCATATAATCAAACAAAGCTATTGTTATGTTTTGCTTCCTTAATGCCACACAAAATAAAAATAATCCGGTTAAGATGACCATATTATGCTAGCAAGGCAGAATTTCTATGAATGCCCCCAATACCCCTCTCCCACTCCAATCCACAGAACCTGTGATTATGAGATTTTCACTTCCATGCTTGTGATTTTGTATTTTACACAGGACAATTAACTTAAAATAGGGAGATTACCCAGGTGAGCCTCATCTAATCACTTGAGCCTTTAGAAGCAGGAAGCTTTCTCCAGCTGGCGACAGAAGAGTTGGAGAGGTTACAACCACGAAAGGTGTTGTTTGGCAGGTAGTCTTATGGAAGGAAGAGAGACACCAGCTGACAGCCAAGAAGGAAACGGGACCTTCCAGCTACAGGGAGATGAATTCTGCCAACCACCTCAATGAGCCAGCTTCCTGGAGGTGGATTCCCTCCCAGAGGCCCCAGAAAACCACCCAGACCTAAAGAAACCTTCATTTCAGCTTGGTGGGATCCTCGGCAGAGTACCCACCTGGGCTTCGGGTCTATAGAAGCTGTGAGATAACAAATGTGTGTGTGTTGTTGTTTTTTATTAAGTTTGTGGTAAATCGTTTTGGCAGCATTAGGAACCTAATACACATATACAGAAAAGCTATTCTCTGTATTCCTCAGACTCTAGAAAACAGAGACTAAGAATACCAATTCCATGCCCACTCTAGTCTTAGCTAACCAAGAGGTACACATTAAAATAAGACTTATCACATTCTTTCATGAAGAATTTTTCTTTAAATTCTCAACCCTAAAGATTAAACTAAATAACATAATTCCAGAAGAACCTATCTGTGCAATAAGAAAATGATGATACTGCCGAAACTGGTTCGGCTCAGTGGATAGAGTGTCACTCTGTGGACTGAAAGGTCCCGGGTTCGATTCCGGTCAAGGGCATGTACCTTGGTTGCAGGCACATTCCCAGTAGGGGGTGTGCAAGAGGCAGCTGATGGATGGATTCTCTCTCATTGATGTTTCTAACTCTCTATCCCTCTCTTTTCCTCTCTGTAAAAAAAAAAAAAAAAAAAAAAAAAAAAATCAATAAAATATATATTTTTTAAAAAAGAAAAGAAAATTATGATACTGGATTTAATTATAGTAGGCTTCCTGGGAGCCAAACGATGTAAAATCAACGTGGAAAAGAGAACCAGGAACAAGAAATAATAACAACAACAACAACCTGATTGCCAATTTACAACAACAACAACAATAACAATCTGATTGCCAATTTACAACAACAACAACAATCTGATTGCCAATTTACCAGAACACCTAGCGGAGTTGTTCAGGAGTTTCCAGGAGCCTGTTGCAGGGTTCCGTTTTCCGATCCCAGGGGGCTGGACTCGGCTGGTGACTGTGGGAGGAAAGAAACAAGTTACCAATTGCGGAAGGGAGACGGGAGGCGGGGGCTGGGGGGGGGGGGGCGGCGGGGGCGGGTATTCACAAAAAAAAAAAAAAAAACGGGTGCAAGAAGGTGGAAGACAAGACCATCTAGAGGTTGGGAGCCCCAAGACTCAAACTTCTGGGGAAAGCACAGCACACACACCCAACAAGTCCATCTGCTCGAGAACGGGACCCAAACCACCGCACGGTTCACGAGTGAGCAAACAACCGCCCTGCCTTCCATTAGGTCCACAGGGTACACAAGGCGACGGAGTTCAAGGCTGGGCTCCAGAGACTCCGCCCCGCACCCCAAGGCCAGCTCCCACCCCCCGGGAGCCGCCGAGGCGGAGAGACCCGACCCCGCACCCCGACCGACCTGCCCGGCGGCCCCACCTCGGGGGTCCCTCCCCCCGACCCGCAGGCGAGATGCCTGTGGACCCCACCGGGCCCGGCCCTGGCACCGGCGCCGTCCTACACCATCTCACTCCGTTCTACACCATCTCTCTGTCCTCCCTCCGCCCCCCGGACAGGATGGGGAAGGGGAACGCAGTCTCGGGGGGCGGGGGACCCCACTCACCCCGCGCGCTTCGCCCAGTCCCCGCCGCAGCCGACAGCCGCACCAGCCCGCTCCCTTAAGGCCACCGGGGAGCGGGGATTGGGTGGCAAGCTGCGAGGGCCCGCCCCCTCGGCCAGCGGGGAGCGGGGATTGGATGGAAGCCCAGAAGGTCCCGCCCCCTACTCGAAGGCGGGGCCGGGCCTGCGCTCTGCGGGGACCGGGCCCGCCTCCCGCCCGCGGGCGCCTCGGTCCCGGGCCGGTTCCGGGCTGCGGGCCCGGGAGAGGCTGGAGGATGCCCGGCCAGCGGGCCCGGCCCGGCCGGGCAGCGCTGGGTTACTTGCTGCCGGCGGAGCACAGCGCCCCCGCCCGGACACGGCGGGTCTCGCCCACACAGACACCTAACCCTAACGCTGGCTCTGGCCCATTATTACCCAACTTGGTCAAGACTCAGGGCCCCGTTTCCCGTCCCCTGGGAGCCACGGCCGCTCCTCCCCCTTCCAGCGCTATGTTTTTTTCCCGCCACCCC